AATTTTTTTAAATTATTAACAATTAACAGTAAATATAAAAACAGTAAATGATTGTCCGAAATTATGCTAGAAAAATATATAACACGGAACGGTACACAGTTCTCTTTTAAAAATTATATCTTCAGTCTAATCGTTTTTTCTTTTTTCTTTTTAATTTTATCGAGGAAAATCAACCTTTGCTTTAGATCGATCTGTATAATGATCATTTTCTGACTACTTACTATAATTTTATTTAAAAAAGTACTTGCACATTTTAAAGCGCATGCTGAAAGAAGAAAGCCTATAAAATACACATAAGTACATGTAAATCGTTTAAATTCGTTCAAACTTCCTGTGTATATAATGCATATTTATGTAGAAAAATAAGTTATTCAATAATTATTTCTATAGTACTTGGTATTTTTTATTAAGAAGATTGATTTTTCTCAATAAAATTAAACAAAACTTTTTAATCGAATTTGAACAGACTGAAATTTTGGGAATTATATTTTTAAATAATCCTTATACGTACTTATACATATTAAAGATTATCACATATTTAATTTTGAATAAAAACAGAAATGTTATTTTTAAAAATTACCGAGTTTGTGTTTAATGAGCCTTTTTTCTTTTCGGCTTTCTCTTTCCCTCTCTCTCTCTATCTCTCTCTCTCTCTCTCTCTCTCTTTCACTCTCTCATTGTTTTTAATCTCGAAGAAAAGTAGACTTTACCTGCTCCTGCGCGTTCTCCAAATAATCGATAACTGACTTCTCGAGCAACTTGTTGTTTACGCCTTGAAATCCGTCACCCACCATTTCTAGTTGTCCGTTCTCTGGAATCGCAATTGATCTGAATACGGGACATTACGTTGCGATCGGTTAGTTAAAATTTTTTATATGCGTACACCAAAATTAAAATAAGAAATATTAAAAAATTTTTAATTGTAACAGTTTAGGGTTATTAAATGATTTTTTTATTTTAAAATATAAATTTTAAACATAACTAAACAGTTTATAATATTAAATAAAATCATAGCACGTTGATAAGCTCAACAATAAAACTTGATATGTCCTATATCCTTTGAAATGAAACATACTTTGATCGATCACTATAGCGACGAATAATTGTATTATCTATCGCAGCGTTTCCCACATTATGTTCCGCGAAAAGTCAATACCGTGAAAATTACGAGAATTAATATTATTTTACTATTTTTATGTGTTTTATTTTGGATAATTAAAACTTGAGAATAAATGTTCGTCTTGTTTTCTTAACTCTTATATTTACTTGATTAATTTTTTTGTCATTAATATCTACCCACTTTATAAAATAATGAAGATATTTCGTTAAAATTTCAAGATTTGTGAGATGTTCTGTCATAGGAAAATTTAAGGAAACGGTGATTTATCGTATGTTTGTTCTCACCATTCGGTAGAAATTCAAGTTCCTCGTCTCCTTCTGATAAAACTCGATCGGCTTGTCGTTCCTTTTCGAATACTCTTTCGATGTCACCTCCGTGATACTTGAGCGAAGGAAAATCATTGTAATATTCTTGAGAGACAGGTTCCAAAGATATCTGTTTTCTTGTAACAGCATTTAGTGCACTTCTCAAGGACTCTTCGTTCGTCTCATAGGGCGCAGGAGCGAGCGCCGTTATTCCAACGCTGACGAGCGTCAAAATCCAACCTTGTCCCAACATCTGCTAATTCAAAAAATCAATAAGCCCTGGTGAATGGATAGAAGTGACCGCTAGGTGCAAACGGGAAATGTTTTCTGCCTTTCCTTATCACCCTTATCATTATTAAATCATTATTAAATATGTTTCATTGGAGAATAATATAAATTTAATGAATTAAACTACTCGATCTATTAGATTTTTTTTATTTTCTCTAAAATGAAGAATAGCAACAAAAGAAAAGAAAGGAAAAAAGAAAAGAAAAAAAAATGAGAACAAAAATCCATAAATAGCCAATGCTTACATTCATCAGACTTCTGTTTATTAAATTATTCAGTATGGAAATGTTAATGAGCTTAATTGTATTTGGGCCAATACCGACTTCCCTAAGGGAACAGCGAAGTTCTTTGTCATAACGAAGAAATATTGATGAAATATTTAAAACGAAGAAATATTGTGTACTTGATTGCAACGACTGATAACAATTAAATGAGATATGAATGTATTCGATGTGTAAAGTCTAAAGCCAATAGTTCAAAATATTTTGCGATCTGAAATAATATTTTCTTCAATATGGATAAGATGACATACATTATATATATATATATATATATATATATATATAAATATACACACACATATACACACATATACACACACTACATTTGAATATAATAAATAAATATATATATAAATATTTATAATGTTTATAATAGTTTTTCTATATTAATAAATAGTATGGCGGGGATCTTATATGACTATTATAATCCTTCGTTTTACGTCATCAAACGCGTATAATTTGTTTCCCAACGTAAGATCAATAAAGTATGCTACATATTAAGAAACAAATTGACTGGTTTAAAATTAATGCATTATATTTTAATATCGTCAATTATTGTTGTCAATGAAAGTAAATTGATATTGTAAATCTCTTTTTAACGCATAAGACTTAATAACCAATAAATTAAATCTCATTTTACAGAAGTAAAATACATTTGAAAAATATATAAAATCAGTGAAATGTCAGTTTTTTTTATAAGAATATAATAATATACTAATAAAATGAAAGCAAGAATCCGCAACGTCAAACAATCAGTAGGCGAGTGTTTATAAAAAATATGAATGTAACTAAATTTTTTTCTTCTAATAAAGTACTCCTTACACAGATCGTTCACCTTTTATCATTTAAAACATTCAATTTAACACGCATGTTTTAGCATAATACAATGATATTTACGTTACCAAACAGTGTACACGATTTACCATAAAAGTCTATAAATACATTTAAACATAAGCATAAAAAAAACGCGTTAAAATTATAATTGACGAAACATGAAAGAAAAAACATAAAAATATTGCAAATGATATGAAGTAAAATTATTCACGTTCGTGAACACCGTTCTATTAAAATATCGAATGAACATTAAGGAGAAGGTGACAAGAAACGAAGAAACGTGCTGACATGATAAGGACAATGAAAACATAAATCATATTTCGATCATTTCACTTACTGTTCTCTCTTTCTCTTTCTCTATTTATCTCTCTCTCTCTCTCCCTCTTTCTCTTTTTCTCTCTCTTTCTCCCTCTCTTTCTTAATAATTTTTCCTCATGATAAATAACGTAAGTCGTACGATCGTGTTCAATGTCCTTTTAATTCGTCTTTCTTTTTCTATATCTCGTTTTTTCTCTTGCGCGATGGTTTCTCGAAACATGGAATTCGTTCTCTGCTCCACGATCACCAATGACGGGAGCTTTTATATAGAAGCTCTTGAGGATCGATAGAAACGCGCATGGAACTCTCCGTTTGCCGGTAGCAGCAACAAGTAAAGGCGTGTGGGGTGTGCCTGAAGAAACATACCGAACGGAAAATTATATGGACATTTGGTATACCTGTTTTTATTTGAGAGGGCTTATCTCCTTCTCTGATTAAATGAAAAATAATGATTCACATGAAATGTAAATAAAATATTACATGTCATTCCTATCACATAAAAGGGACTTGAAATTTCATGAATATCCCGTGAATTATGTTAATAATTCCAGAAAATATCTGACACTGACAACGTTCATTGTTTTTCGTCCTTCTTTTTATTGATATTTAATTATTTATCTGTTTATTATTTTTTTCGAGTTTTACAAATATTTAATAATAACAGTAATATGTATCAAATTCTATATTTCCGTTAAATACATCCGGTATTTAATGCATTAATTTCGTAACTCCGTAAGTTACGATCAAAAAAGTAATATTAATTGTGATAATATAAAACGTTGAAAATTTATATAGCATGACCAAACTCATCGAGATTATAACTAATTTTAAACTAGTCGATCTAGATAACATTTCTTTTTATTAGAGTTCTTTATTGAAGTTCTTCATTATATTGATGCATTCTTACATCCCTTAATATGACATGGAAATTTTCTGTCATATATATACACACACATACATTTTATATTGTATAATATATTACGTATAGTATTCATATAAAAGTAGCATTATTATATTTTATATCTTTTTAAGGGATAGGAAGATTTTGATTAATTTTAACTCTTTTTCCTTATAGTAAGTAAATGATTTTTCTTATAAATTATATGTTCTTTTCGGTGGCAATAATTGTTTGAAAATATATTTCCAGATTTCATCATTTCGTTTCTCCAAATTCATCATCTTTTACATTTATCAAATGACACCTTACCTCTATTTAAACGAATACATACCGTTTGTGCTTAAAGTTCCATAAATATCGCACACATATTTCGCGTTCAGTTTAAAAATGAAGGACAATTTTTAGGGTAGGTCGCATATACATACATATATACCTATATATATATATATATATATATATATATATATATATACATATATATATATATTCGTTATATAACAAAAAGTCGTGACTATATATTTTTTCTTCTCATAGAGTATCATTTTACTATGTCAGCTATATACATGGAATCTTGCTAAAACTAATTTCTAAATCGAGAGATGCAATTTTCAAGAGAGGGAGAGAGAGAGAGAGAGGAGAGAGAGAGAAAGAGAAAGAGAGAGGAGAGAGAGAGAGAAAGAGAAAGAGAGAGAATCGTGATATACATACATAATATTAACGATTAATAAGTACGACCAAGAAATATAAAAAAAAATAAAAATTTTTATGATAATATGGCTTCATCATTTTTTATACATATAACTTATCTATTCTATCAACTTTCTAACAACCACTCTCCCTCCTTACTCATTCCTCACTTAGATCTTTCTGTCATTTAATAATTATCTTTTGGATCGCATTAACGAGATTTTTTTTGTTCTTGGTAAGCGAATAACTAGAAGAAAGATAGCGCTTATCCATCGTCTTGATAAGCCGTTATTTTATCAAAGATAACAGTATAACGGATAACTTAGGGCAGTGAGAAAATATTTTGACTCCAGTGTTCGATATATTATATATAGGTATATATAGATATTTATTTATGTTTTTCTTTTCATTAGAAAATCTTTAAAAAAAATTTAATAACAACATAAAACGCTTATATATATATATATATATATATATATATATATATATATATATATATCCATAGAATATATTACATAGGATGTAAAATATGAAAGTGCTCAAATTGAAATTAAATTTTTTTGTTTCATTAACGAAGAAGAAGAAATGAAAGTATAGTGAGCGTAAAATGTGATGATAGAGAATGATCGAAACGTTATACATTGTGGAGAAACGTTGAAATATATGTACATAAATGTGTGCTGAATTTGTTCGTAAATATATAATGTATATAATAGATTTCTGTATGCGACGATCTTAGATACAATTGACTTAAATTTTTAGATCAAAACTATAGGCTGTTAAGTTTGCCGCATTAAATTTTCGTAATGAATGGAAATATGGAATTAGAGGCGCAAGAAAGATCTAGTATACCACCGGTTTTTCGAGGACCTATTGTTATTACGGTACAACCGCAAGGTACGTCTATCTATATGTATATATACTTATATATGTAAACATTGCAATTTCCTTGTTCCTTCGCTTCCTTCATCCTTCCGTTTTTATTAGATTATCTTGGAATAAGAAATATTTACTATGGCGTTACAATCAGGTGAAAATAACTCGGGCAGAAGACCAATACCAATATCTACTACGGACTGGGTCTCAACACCCAGATCTCAATTGAATGTACTATCGGGAATGCATTTCTTAGCCGGAGTTGAACAGTTGGAAATTCAAAGGATAATCAACTTTAATGGATGTAAATTTCTTTTTCTTCTAAACCTTATGAAATATTAAGGTTTTTCAAAAAGTTAATTTCCAGTATGAAAATTCAATGACACATATATGATTACGTAGGAATATGTGTATATGTAATCGTGTTGTATATGCATATGACATATTAATTTTCATATTAAATTTGATTTATTATGTCATTCGATATAATGTAATTCAGTAACGTATTTATTGTTAGACATGGTCGTAAAGAGCTTTTTGTTTATATTTACATATGTTTTTTCCCGATATATCGCTGTACGTATTATACGTATAATATAATACGATGTTGTCATTTGGAAAAAAGAACTTTAGAAAACTTTATATGAAATATCGATATCAAAATGTATCATAAATCGTTAAGAACTTTCAGAAGACCTAATATCAAATATATATATATATATATATATATATATATACATTTATATAGAGTGATTATAAATTAAAGGTCAGTCGAATATCTCGTTAGTTAGGAACAATGGAAAAAAAGAGTATTACGAAAAGTTTTATAATTTTATATGTCAAATGTTTTAAGAGCATGGAGTATAACACTCGGTTACTGATTAAATTGAAAATTGAATGATTGTTTGTTTTTTTATAGAACACCCTGTATTTTTTTTGTTAATTAGATATTTTAATCAATTATTTTTAAAAAATTATTAAACAAGCACAGATTTAAAGTTAATAATTAATAAGACATTAGCATGTATAATTATGTATCTAATAGTATACACTTTCAAATGTAAACAATCTTAAGATGTAACGAAAGAGGTAATGAAAAACATACAAAACAATGTTACAATAAGTTTAGTTACTACTTTACTAAGGCTGTTAATTGAAAACAAAAAAGTTTAAAATTAATTTATAATAACACTAACAAAAATAATAGTTTATTTAATTTAATAAATATTCAAAATGTCCATCATTTTCTTGTATATACAATCAATTTTTGCTTGTAGTTTTTATAAATTTCGATTTCATTAAGATTAGTATTACTATTTCTGTCAACATGGCATATTTCACAGGTTAATATCTCGTTAATTATTAACTTTAGATCTATATTTGTTTAATAATTTTTTAAAGATAATTAGTTAAAATATTTAATTATTGAAAAAAGTACAGGATGTTCCATAAGAAAAACTGACAATTATTCAACTTCCGATTTATTCGATAGCTGACAATGTTTTATTTCGTACTATACATTTTTTAAATATTTTACATATGAAAGTATGAAAATTTTTTTAACATATTTGTTTTTCTATTCTCTTGAACAAAAGAAATATTCAACTAGCTTTTAATTTATTATCAATCTATGTATATAGATATATTGTATACCTCAAATCTTCATTTTTATCTGGAAAATAATCATCTTTAACTGTTTATACTTTTTTAGTATTTGGATTATCTGGAAATAGAAAACAATATAGAGTGAAAGTACCAAAAGCTGAAACGATCTTTTTAGCTACGGAATCTCGTGAGGACAACGAGGAAAGGTACATACGTAGAGTTGCAGATTTTACGTTAATTTTCTTAGACCAAGCTGGAGAAACAGCGTTTGTTATTAAGAAAAATCCTGTATGGAAATATATGCCTGGACCAGTACACGTAAGTTATGCATAATTAATGATTCTTTAAAGAACATTATTATTTTTATTTTAACTTAACATATTAATTATCGAACTAATTTTATGCAAATCGTACGTAACATTGATAACATTCACAATTTAGTGTAAGCTATAAAATCCATTGTCATTATTTCCATGCAATTAGAGTTTAGTTTTATATAAAAAAATATATTTTTAATTTTGTAAATATTACTTTTTAAAGGAATCTTTAAAAAATGTTACGAACAAAGGTCTATAAAATTGTATGTTGATTATTGATAAATATTCAATGTGTGAATAATCTTCATTTGATCTCGATTCTGCTCTTGATTGATGACATTTGAGTATCTTCGTCTTAATCTCATTCTCTACTATGTTTATACACCCCCAGATATACATATATAAAACAGTATATAGGATGTCCCTAAAGTAATCATTTATTTCGGTGAAATATTAACATAATTCTATTGAATATCTACATATTTATAATTCCTCTATTGTTTCATATATGGATCTTGGACAATCCGAATATGAAACAATTAAATTAAAAATAACCTCCAAATTGAATTAAACAAAGCTTAAATTATTTTGTCCGGAGTTTTATTAAAAATGTTTGAATTAGATTATAAAAGATATGTTTGAAAAGTAAATTAAAACATCATAAAAGAATTAAAAGTATACCTTTAGGATCGTATTAATGAGCTTGAAAGATAATCTCTGATATATTTAAAAGTGTATTTCAATAGCAGCAGATTACTTTGAAATCTCTAGAGACATTGATGGTATACATTCCAAAAAATTGTAATTTAAGTTTTAATTATATTTTTTTCAGACATTTATTTTCACAGATATATTTTATTTTTAATATTATAGTAATATCATTTCATGAAGGTATTTTTGTATTATTCATTTTATTTTAATTATTTATTTGATTTGATTATGAATATTGATAATTACTGCATGGACATACGCACGCTAATTTTTTAAATGTCTATAATTCATATTCTATTTTAAATGTTCTTTTTTTTTATTTACGAAGAAACTTACGGTATCAAGTACGAGTTTAATTGGGAGTGTGGAACAAAATTTCTCTATATTGGGCCCGAGTTTTACCGTTTACGATGCTTCACGGAAACCTTTGTGCAATATATACGGACCGAATGCATGTAGTTGTTGTATGTACAAGGAATCACAATTTCAGGTAACATTGTAATTTAATAATTTAATCGTTTAATGAATTCCCTGCCAAGGCATTTTTGAATAAGTGTAATTTTTATACTATGAGTGGCGGAAACATTATGAAGCTTGATAAATATATAAAAATTATCTATTTTTTTGGTTTTTTTGTGAGCTGACAATTTATTTTATTTAATTGAGTATTAAATATTAAAACTATAAAATGCACAATATAACAAACAAATAAGTTTACTTCATATTGAAAATGTACAAGAACAACAAAAAAGTTACTTATTTTTTTTAATTTCTTTTCATTTAAATTATCTTTTTTTGAGATTATTTCTTTATTAAGTTCATGACAATTCGAACGAACTGTTTCAACTGAATGCATACATTCAGTAATTAATATTTGTATCAAATTTACACTTGCACATCAATCATTTGTGACCTTTTCTTAGTAAATTTTTTTTTAATTTCGATTAATCTTTTCTTTTGTCCCTACTTTTTTCACGATAATGCAAATATTTAAGCAATCAATCGCAAAATAAATGCTCATAATTAAAGAAAGTTGCATTATACAATTTACGACTCATTAGCATGCCGTGTGTAAGTACTTTTATTAGTACACGACTTTAAAAGAGCTACAATAACATAATGTATATAATAGTGATATAAACGATTGTTTCTTTCATTTTACCTGTCATTGACAAAAATATTATTTGGCCAGAAAATGATATTCAATGTGTATCAAAAACGATACATGCGGCTAAAATTTTAATAATAATCATCCATGTGAGTAAAAATTCGAAAAATAACGAAAATCTCATCTAATATATCGAAGGACATTTTTGTGTGAAGTTTTATTAGAACTGTTTCAGCTATTTTCTTAAAAATTTCAGAAAAAGTCAGACGTAGAAAGGAAAAGAGAAAGAAATTTACAGCTTTAGATAATATCATGATTCATGCAGATCTTTAAATATAATAAAAAGAAAAAACAAAAACATTTCCATCAAATATTACAGTAAATAATATTCCCTCGTGGAATTTCTATCTAATCAAAAAATTTGTTTTCTTATTTCTACAGATTATTTCGATCGATGGTTCACATCAAATGGCATCTTTAATGCATCAGTGGAATAATACAATCTATGATTACACTTTATTACTTACTTTTCCATTAGATCTCGACATAAGATTAAAGAGTCTATTGCTCGGTGCATCTTTTCTAATGGTATTTAAAAGTCTACGTAATTCTCTATTAAAGCTTACAATTGATATTTATTATTATTTATATTTCAGGAACACTTATACTTCGAAAACGTTAAGAGAACGTGAAAAAAACAAACAAAAATTCGAATCGATAAGACATTTATTTATACACAATTATTTGAAATAAAATGCAATAAAGTGCGATTAAATTGTATGACTCGATTCAAAAATGGAAGCTATATTTCCATTTCGTTTGAACTGCTTTTGAAGCATATATTCGATTTTCTGATATCTCTCATCATTATATTTACGATACAGAGACCTGCCAAATTTTTATCGGAAGATGAGAATGAGAAACTACACATTTAAGGCGGATTCATTAAAATTCGAATGAATTTTCTAGATCGAAGCGCCATCTAGCATATTTTTTAAGAAGCTTTAGTAGTCTGCAATTGTTTAAATAAGTTATATACCACGCACGTGGTTAATCATGTCTGATTGTATAAAACAGGTTTACTTAATTTAAATTCTCCAAAAATGTTTTTGAAGAAATAAAATATATTCATAGAAACGCGAATATAAACAAATTTTTCGTATTCGAGTATATAGTTAAAGAAAAATATTTGTGAAATATAACTATCACATTATTTGAATTCACATATATAATTAATTCATGACTTCGTTGACAATTGACGATCTCATCGAGATGCAATGGTGTAACCTAGTAGTGTTAGGATGTAAATCTTTTTATTCATTTGTTTATAAAATTATAGATTTCTATTAGATGTGAAAATATATAAATCATACAATCCGTATGCATATTAAAATATATCGTGTAAGGTTTATTAGATTTTGGTTATCACAATGAAAAATGTGTATTACAACATAAAGTGATGAAAAGGGTATGATAATTAAAAGCAATCAGTAAGAAACAGTAATAGTAAGTACATATATATAGAAAAAGCACGATTGTATCATTGACCAAATGCACATAGAATTTGATTGTTTTATCGGTAGATACAGTATTAATCTTGACTAGGAGATGTTCAATTGTTCGAACAAACAAAGGAAAAGTAAACATCAGAAAATTGCAAGGGAGAGTGAATGTACCGGTGGGTCAAAGACTAAACTGTGTGAATATTACATTCGGTTGACTCTAATTTAGCAAAATTACCGATATGATTAAAACGTGTATCATGTGAATTTATAATTACTGTTAAATTAGTAGCGAAAGAAAAGGGACCATAATAAGCTAGCAATTAATTTAATCGTAACAATACGCAGTAATAAAAATATTCTACAGATTATGCATTGAAATAAATTAGATTGAATATGGACTGATAATAAAGATAGAAAAGAAGGAAACAGAAGAATTTTTTTAGTCTTTCACAATCTGCTCTTACAATTTATTTTATAACGTGTTAGTCATTATTCGATCTGGTGAAATAAGTTTTCCATACTTTATTTTACTTTATTTTATTATTATATATATTAAAGAGTCGATAGCCAACTTTTATATAACCATGAAATTGAAGGAGATTTTAAGAAACATTGTTTGGTTTACATGAAGTCCTTGAAGCATAATAAAAAATTATAAGCTGTATAATATTATTCTATAGTCACTTATAAAACTAGATATAAATTCAGAAAAGTGAAAAAGAAACAGGTGACAAAGTAAGAGAGTTTATTTTTGTTAAAAATAAGAAAAGACATACTTACAAACAATACTTATTGTTACATATAAACAGGATAATACACATGAGTGATCATGGGAATTTTAGTTAATTAAACTAGCATGGAAATATCTGACATGTAAAATACATATTATTAAATAATTAGTTATATTAAGTTGAGATTATCTGTATTGCATTTTGCAGTACTGAACTGATCGTTTAACTGTACATCTAATGGTTATAGACATTGTATGATGTAACATTTAATGATTTAATTGTAGGCGAATATCAATACATCATTAATGTTTTGATCAATCTTAAACATTAAAAAATTAACCAATATAATAAATATTCATGTATTTCAATATCAATTTAAAATTTAGAAGTAATTCAATATTTTGAAAGCCAATTTATCTCTTTTAAAAGTTTAAAATAATTACTGAAAGCTTTTTTGGTAGAAATGTAGATTTTGGAAAAGTTTTTTCATTGATCAACGCTTATTGGTCTTCTCAAAAATCAACTTTAATGGTAAATACATTGTCAGATGTCACGAAAAAAAAAAATTAAAATACGATTTAGCTGTGAAAAGTTTTAAAATATCGTAAAGGAAAATAATGAAATTCTAAAAAAGATTTATTCAAAAAAAAAAAAAAAAAGAAAAAAAAAAGAAAAAAATAGAAAATAAAAATAACAATTTATTAATTTAAAATAAGGAATAAATTTCTGAATTAAATTAAATCCATAGTTAAAGAATTAAATAATTTTACTGCATTTTGATAGAAAACATTTTGTCAATTTGCTTACGGATACATATTTCTTATAGATCATAATATATTATCATTATTTCTAAATTTCTAATAAACAGTTTTGGACCGTTATATTATTTATTGTTTATCTATTAATTAAAACATTTTGTTTTGCATTCAAAATAAATCATTTCTGTATATTTTTATACGTTTTATCTTCAATTGTTTATATAACTACTCAAAGAAATGGATCCTGTTGCATTTATTGAACTCATCGTTGTATGTTATGTTTTCTTACATTTGATTTATCTCTGGTCTTCAGATTATAATGTGGAATTATCTTTACTTAACAAAATTTGGGAAATCTATTAGTAAGTAAATATAGAAATATAAATTATTCATGTTATGATATATACATTATATGTGTGTGTGTGTGTGTGTGTGTGTGTGTGTGTGCGCGCGCGTGAGTGAGTGAGTGAGTGTGTGTGTGTGTGTGTGTGTGTGTGTGTGTGTGTGTGTGTGTGTGATATCGAGAAGTTTAATCGATGCTTTGTGCATCAAATGTAAGCAAGTCAGCATGCATAAGTGTATCGGTTCATTTAGGGATATTCCGAGGCTTTATTTCCGTGTAAATAAATGTGTATATGCGTATGTGTGTGGATAAGAGTGAGGCTTGGGTTTTCGAAAAAAAGGGTAAAGGGAAAGGCGAATGAGACGATCGAAACAGGTCAGTTCTAGAAAAGACACGAAGCAACTAAGACGCAGCTTAAGATATTATTCATTTTTTTGTATAATTTTTATTAATTTTCGTCAATAAATCTTCTATTTTATTAATATCACCGACACCGCATATATATATCGTTTAACATTAATAAAAATCTAATTTTTATATTATTTTGGATTTTTTAGGTATATGAAAGATGTCTGGATAACACATGAGTATTCCCAAAGGGATTGAAGAATTGAAGAATACTTGGCAGTTGTATTAACAAAAGTTGAATATAAATTAATATTGTCTATTATGAGATAGGCAATATTGCAAGATGTTAACACAGTTTAAAAGGTAAAAATAATTTTATTGTTCTTTTTGAAATATTATTGAAATTTTTTTATTGTAATTATAAAATATATACAGCTCATAGAAAAATGTAATATATATGTATATATACATATATATATTTCTCTTTAGAATTATTATATAATTTCAGTTGTGTAGAAAAATTGGGCGGAAAAAAGAATATAAATAATGTAGATGCAAAATAAATTATTTATTATTGAAAAATACTAATGTACAGTATATCTTTGATACTGGTGTAACTTGCAAAGTAAGATACAACTTACAAAGAATTTTATATATATATGCAGCTTCAAATGTTTTTCTTACAGAGAGTGCTGTAAGGTGATGATGTGCTATTATTGTATTAGATGTTCGTAATATTTACATCAGGAGACACTCAACACAATTATTAAAAAATTAGATAATGTATAAAAGACTTTTATTATATTTTATTTCTCTATAAAAATATTATTCACTACACCATTTATTTATATTTATAATATTATTTATATTTATAATATTATTTAAGTTTATATCAAAAGCATAAAAATTGTAAGAAGTAATTAGTGATATATATTTATAAAAATTTTATTTTCAGTTTGACATATTAATTAATAATATTGAAGTTAGAGGAAAAGTATTACTTTAAATATGGATAAACGAACATACAAGTTAAATGTATTTTCATAGTTATCATTAATTTGAATAGCCATAAAACATATCTTATTAAATGATCTTTGGCAAATTGTATTTACATATATATAGTTTATTCGGAATTTTTGGAATGTTTTGTTGTAAAAGTTAGACTGGTAGAAAAATGGATTATTTTATTAGTATTTCTCACAAGTAAAAGATTTATTTTATATGCTTTCTTCTTACAAAGGATTAGCGATCATCTTTATTTTGTGCGCAAACAATTAACATGAAGATTAATTATAAAAACTTTGATGACGAATTAATACTAACTGATCATTTTTTTAGAAATGATCGAATGATAATTTTTTTACTTGAAAGTGTTACAATAAAGAATTGTTAAATAATAAACAATTTATTTCGTATCTACATTATTTATTTATATTTTATTATTGCGCTTAATTTTTCTATTCAAATGAAATTATATAATAAGCTTAAAAAAATATGTATATAAATATATACATGTATATATTATATTTTTCAATGAGCTATATATACTTCATAATTACAGTAACAAAATCTCAGTAATACTTCAAAGAAAACAGTAAAATTATTTTTACCCTCTAAATAAACTATCTTAACATTTTCTTTCATTACGTTCATCTACACAAGGCAGTCATACTGTTTAATTCCTCTGTTTGAGGAGCATATAACAACGATGAATGCGAATTGTTTTTTCCTGAATTGATTTGATTGTAATTACTATAGCGTTTCTCGTCCGATGTACTCATTTTGTGAAGCCTATTGTATAAACTCTTTAGGAAAAAAATATAACTTAGTGGATCAGTATCAATGTTCTCCTATTCCTGATCAAAAAATTAGTGAGGATAATATTGTGTATACATCTCATTATCGAAAAGTAGAGCTTCTCGTTTTTACTCTAACGGTATAAAAAATTCCTGTTAAAATTGATTGGTTAATAATTGTAATCTAGTTTATATTACCAGAATACTATATATACGATTATAATTTACGAATAGATCTTTCAATCTAAAAATACAAAATAAATTCGTAAATATGAAAAAAGTAGTTATATTTGTTGTTGCGTCGTGAGG